ACACACTCACTCGCATACACACTCACTCGCATACACACTCACTCACTCGCACACACACTCACACACTCACTCGCATACACACTCACTCACTCGCACCACACACTCACTCACTCGCACCACACACACACCACACACTCACTCACACACACACTCACTCACTCGCACCACACACAGCACACACACTCACACCACACACCACACTCACTCACTCACACCACACACACAACACTCACTCACTCACTCACACACACACCACACACACTCACGCACACCACACACACTCACTCGCACCACACTCACTCACACCACACTCACTCACACCACACTCACTCACACACACCACACACACTTACTCCCACACACTCACTCACACCACACACACTCGCACCACACTCACTCACACACTCACTCACTCACTCACACACACAGTCACTCACACACACCACATTCACATACTCACACACACCACACTCACTCACACACTCACTCACACCACACACACTCGCACCACACTCACTCACTCACACACTCACACCACACTCACTCACTCACACACTCACTCCCTCACACACTCACACACACCACACACTCGCACCACACACACACACCACAAAGATCCCCCATATAGTCTTAACAGACTGTAGGGACAAGTGCTGTTAGCGAGCACCTATGAAGACCGGAACGGTACACGAGGGGGTGGGTGGCCAGCACCACGCCCGATACACACCACACTCACTCACACACACACCACACACACTCGCACCACACCCACTCACTCACTCACACACACTCACTCGCACCACACACACACACCACACTCACTCACTCACACCACACTCACTCACACCACACTCACTCACACCACACTCACTCACACCACACTCACTCACACCACACTCACTCACTCACACCACACTCACTCACACCACACTCACTCACTCACACCACACTCACTCACACCACTCACTCGCACCAATTCACTGACTCGCACCACAATCACACACACACACTCACATACACACTCACTCACACGCACACACTCACACACCACACACACACTCGCACCACACACACACACCACTCACACCACACACACACCACACACTCACATACACACACTCACACCACACACGCACACCACACACTCACACGCACTCACATACACACTCACTCACACACACTCACACACCACACACACACTCGCACCACACACACACACCACACTCACTCACTCACACGCACATACTCACTAACACCACACACACTCACTCACTCACACGCACGGCGCGTGTGTATTGTCCCAGTGCCGAGGGAAGAGTTTTTGGATCATCCCTTGCGGGATCAAGGCCTCGTCCAGGCCAAGTCGCTCGCTACAGGGTGCAGGTTTGACCGTGCCTCGCCACGCAGAGAGCGAGAGAGCGAGCTGCACGACCTGTTGAGATCGTCACTTGGGGCTGATGTCACAGCAGCCGTGGCTGGGAATCGAACTCGGGGCGGGAGGATGCAGGTTTCAGAGTACAGCGAGCTCACGCCGATGTCACCAAGGGTGGGTGACCAACTCATCCACTCGCTGCTCGACAGAGGGTAATGTTATTTTCTAATTGCTTATGCCTCAAAAGTACCGACAATGGCTATTATTCCCCACAAACTTTCCAGAACATTTTAGATATATTCAGTGCTGAGTAAACTTGGAGTAACTTCTAGAACATTCTAGAACTTTCCAGTAGTATAAATAGTAGTATAAATACAGGGGCCTTAAGCCCACCAGTCCAGTTGAGTTCCAGCTGCCTAGATGGATACATATCTGCATTTTTCTGAGATGGCATCAAGAGGCTGCAAGCATCGGGCAGACGCATTTTGCTACGTATGCGGCCAATTTATCAAGACAAGAGCGAAAAAGTAAATTTCGATTTAAAGCTTTCGTGACTGCAGGAATTCATCTTCTTGGTTCTTTCGGTAAAGTCACGTAGAAGGGAAGTAATAAAATAATAAAAATAATATATATTATTATATTATTTTATTATGTTTTTTTTTTATTATTTTATTACTTCCCTTCTACGTGACTTTACCGAAAGAACCAAGAAAAAAGCGAAAAAGTACTCTGTGGAAGCATCTGCTAAGATGCGTGAGAACTACAAGACATATTTCGGCATGCCTGTCGGGGATCAAGACAAACCCTGGGAACCTCATTTCACCTGCGAGCAATGCAAAATATGGAAGGTAAGATGGACAATTTTTGCTCGAAATATTGTCATAAAATGTAAAAAATTGTAGACGTTTTTAATTTTTAAATGTTTTACAATTTCCAATGAGTTCGCTATCCCAAGAATCTGGCGGGAACCCACTGACCACTCAAGGTGGACCCTCCCAAACGTCGGACTGGCAAGAACCTGTCACGTATCCAGACCTTCATCTATTGCCCCGGTGCCACACTGCCATGAGCTCCCCGTACCCACTCCTCTGGAGAGAGAGCAGCCATCTTTAGAAGAGAACAGCAAGTCAGAGAGCGAGGAAGACGTTGTAGATCCAGATGACAATTTCAGAGATGGAGCAGAGGAGAGAAACCCATACTACCCCAACCAAAAAAACCATAACGACTTGATCAAAGATATTGGTCTCACCAAGTCCAATGCCGAGCTTTTGACGTCTAGGCTCAAGCAGTGAGACTTCTTGGATAAAAGCGTGCCAGTCGCAGATCAGAGGAAGCGTCACCAACCGTTTTGCAGCTTCTTCACCCGTCAAGATGGGCTCTGCTTCTGCCACAATGTGATCAGTCTGTTCGAGGCAATCGGAATCACCTGTAACCAGAATGAGTGGCGCCTCTTAATTGACAGCTCATCCAGGAGCCTCAAAGCCGTGCTGCTCCATAATGGTAACAAGTACCCGTCTCTTCCCCTGGCCCACTCAGTGCACCTCAAAAGAGGATTACAACAGCATCAAGACCTTGCTGGACGCCTTGAAGTATGACGAGTACAGACATTGGAGACTTCACAATGGTGGCATTCCTGATGGGTCTCCAAGGCGGTTTTACCAAGTTTCCCTGCTATCTTTGCCTTTGGGACAGCAAGGACACCAAGGCGCACTACCACAGGTGGGACTGGCCACAGCAGACAGAGTTCTCTATGGGGAGGAATAACGTCAATTGGGAGCCACTGGTGAACCCCCAGAAGGTGCAGCCACCAATGCACATTGAATTGGGCCTATGAAACAATGTCAGAGCTGTAGATAAGGAGTCGGCAGCCTTCAAGTACCTTTAAGACTTCTTCCCTAAGCTGTCTGAGGCAAAGGTCAAAGTCGGTGTCTTCGTCGGACCAAAGATAAAGAAGATCCTGGAATTTACACTGAGATCTCTTTTACCAGTGGCAAAAAATAGTAGTAGGTTTTTACTCTTTTAAACTGGTACAAAACTGACACCTTTATTCAAGGCATCATGTTTGCAATAACCACAACACAAGTAGTAAAAAAAGCAAACAAAAAGAAGCAACTCTGATAATGATAATTTGCACTGTCCTTGAAGTTGATTGGTCCACACCCGAGACGGCTTTCTTTAGAGCCTAGTCCCCATTGGTGTTGGACCAGATGACATTTACACAATGAGATCTCATAGTTTAAATGCTTACCCCGAGCTCTCAATACTCTGATATTGCACTGTGTTTGAGTTGTACGCCTTCTGGTGTCATCTGGTCCAACACCAATGGGGACTAGGCACTAAAGAAAGCCGTCTCGGGTGTGGACCAATCAACTTCAAGGACAGTGCATATTATTCTCATTATCAGAGTTGCTTCTTTTTGTTTGCTTTTTTGACTACTTGTGTTGTTGTTATTGCAAACATGATGCCTTGAATAAAGGTGTCAGTTTTGTACCAGTTTAAAAGGGTAAAAACCTACTACTACAAGACCCTGGAATGCAACGAATTCTCAAATAAGCTCACTAGCAAGGAGAAAGCGGCTTGGAACAGCTTTGTCGCAGTGGTTCGTGGCTTCCTGGGCAATCACAAGGTCGAAAACCACGAGCTGGTTGAGAATGGTGAAGAACTACGGCACAATGGGCTGTAGGATGTCCCTCCAAGTCCATATCCTTGATGCTCATCTTGATAAATTCAAGGAGAACATGGGAGCGTACTCGGAGGAGCAAGGCGAGCGCTTCCACCAGAATATACTGGACTTTGAACGCCGCTACCAAGGACAGTACAACGAGAACATGATGGGACACTACATTTGGGGGCTGATGCGTGAATCTGATTTAAAGTATAATCGTAAATCTCGAAAAATTACTCGCTTCTAAATCTTTAGTAGTAATTTTTGTATTACTTTAGTATAAATACATGTTAATTTTGATTCATATGTTTTTTCTGACTTTATGTGAACGAAAATACACAAATTCGCCCGTTTTCTCATTGAAAACAAGTACATTTCTAAATATCACTGTCCTGGTCACAAAAGCAAAGTTTGTGGAGAATAATAGCCATTATCTATACTTTTTCGGCATAAGCTATTGCGAAATAACACTTACTACTCAGGAACAAAAATTGTGTTACATAGTGTCATGCCTCGCGTGCAGATATAGATGTCGAGGCTGGCCCAAACGGCATGACACGTCGGGCGAGTTCACCGATTTTAGCAAATGTTCAAACCGACTTCCATTCACGTTAATGCACGATGCACAAATACTCTCTTGAAATGAATTTTGGACTTTTATGTTTAACATTACAGGTTTCGTCTTTGAATGAATATTCGTCAATTATGCTTTGCCTCAACTCATTCAGGGTTCTTGGTCGAGTTTTGTATATAATGGATCCGAGGCGATCCCCCACGAGAAGGGAAATAGACATTAATACAGCGATGATGATAGATTAAATATTAACTTAAATAATAAACAATAAAAATGCTTTAATGCCAGTGTTGAAATAAGGGAAATAACCCTGTGTTCTGACTTTTGGGCCAACATGCATATATACACACACACAAACCTGAAATTACTTTAAATCACAGTTCCAAACATTCACTGGAGCAATTACCCCACCAGCATCGACATTTATTCCACAAATCAACGGACGACAGAGCTACACCAGTGCCAGATCGATACCCGGACTCGACAAAACAATTGGATTTCCCGTGAACAGAACACGCACGCCAGCAAAAGCAGTCTCACACACCGAAGGGTTCACAGGATATTCAAGGGGGTGGTAAAACTGCAAAGTGGTCTGAAATTTGATTTTTTTTCGTCAACAGATGTGCGACATTAACCACAAAATTAAAGGAATGCAAGTTTAGGATTGCAGGTCCAACCATTATCTTTAAAAGGGAAAAAAACCCCACACCTGCCCCTACGCGTCTTCATTACGCCGTGACAAATTTTAATAGTCGGCGCTCTGGGTAGACTGCACGCAGGCTGATTACAACTTCACTAAATGAACAACAAAAATAGTTTTTATTCACCGACGGGGGAAGATCGGACGTTGGGGCCAACTGGTCGCTGGCGATTTTCAACGAGCTCTGGGGCAAAAGCGTAGCGGCAAGTTCGCGGTCTTGAGCCAGTGGTGGAAATTCCATATTCCAATAACAGGGTGACGAGATCCTCCGTAAGCCATCCAATTTGTATTTATCCCGACAAGTGGTAGAGGCTCACAAAAGTGGTGCTAACATTACTGACATTGGAAGATGACGCTGATGAAGATAGGATGGATCTAAGATGCTGACGGGATGCGAAGGGTGGAAGATGATGGTGATGATGCTGACGAGGTAAGAATTAAATGGAAAATTATCCTGATGGTAAATGTGTAAACTCTCACCATGATTAGAAGCCGTAAGTCATTCATGCATAATAAGAAGCTTTTGAAATATTTGGCCAATGGATTGGCACTGTGGGGGTTCCAGAATTCAACCAACAATCCTAAGGTCACAAGTTCAAATCCTCAGCGAGCATCCATAACAACCCATCATCCATCCAGGGATCCATAAAACAAAGTACCGCTCTGTGGAAAGTCAATCTTGGGCACCCCATGGTTGAGACTGAAGCCCAACATTGTGACGTGGGATGTCCACCAGTTGCTGGAGGCTACCAATGAAGATGAGCATCAGCACCGCCCCCCCCACCCCCAAGTGCTTGCTGGAGAGAACAGAGGCGCAAAATGTTTTGACTTAGTAGCGTAAAAAAAAATTTCACCATCTTAGGCAACGCTAAGGCATCTTCATGAACATTTATTACTCAACACCGCTGCAATCCACATTGTGTGTGTGTTGTGTGTGTGTTGTGTGCGTGTTGTGTGCGTGTTGTGTGCGTGTTGTGTGCGTGTTGTGTGCGTGTTGTGTGCGTGTTGTGTGCGTGTTGTGTGCGTGTTGTGTGCGTGTTGTGTGCGTGTTGTGTGCGTGTTGTGTGTGTGTTGTGTGCGTGTTGTGTGCGTGTTGTGTGTGTGTTGTGTGCGTGTTGTGTGCGTGTTGTGTGCGTGTTGTGTGTGTGTTGTGTGCGTGTTGTGTGTGTTGTGTGCGTGCGTGTCCGTGGCCTCCCCCACCAAAGCATACGGGCAACCAATGGCTTACGGTGGTACAGTGGTAGTCTGCGACTCGGTGAAAGTCAAAACCACTGTCATTTTGGTCTCGATTACTTACACAAGTGCGCCAGGCGAATTGACTAAAACACAATTAATTTAAATTTCTTGTCTTACTTCACAATTAAGTCAGCAAAGCGGTATGGGCATATTTTGACCAAATAAACATGCCTGTATGCTAAAAACAAAACAAACACAAAACACTTGGAAAATGTTAACTTGGGTCTGCTGACTTGTCGTGCGGAGCATAGCAGCTCGATTCAGTGCAATGGACTTGACTGTGTGGCGACCAGTCACTCGAGATGTAGAATTGTATCATGAGGAAACACGAATCTGAGTGGAATGAGGGACAATTTCGTTGCCTTGGAAAAGAAAAACGACCGACACCTTCCCCACGTGCGAACTCTTCCAGCGACCTACGGACACACGGAAGAGAAGTGTAAAGTTAATCGACTGAATATGATGAATGTCCATTGCATTTGTATGTTTTTAATGTTTTTCTTAAAACATCTCACTGTTGAAACGAGCTGGTAGACAGGCGTGGGCGGGGGGGGGGGGGGTTGGGGGCGGGTGCACCCGCTGCCAGTCTCTAGAAATTCACCATTCCTATGGCGGGGGCCAGAGCAAGGAGGGAACGCTGAGAGGAACGCCCGCTGCCGAGAGGGAGCTGAGCGAGCAACTCGTGCGTCGGTGCTGGCTGGATGATTACCAACAACAAATAACCGCGAGAGGCAGCTTGTGGGGGCCTTCAACCAGCAGTGGATCACAGCCAAAGAAAACGATGATGTTTGCAAGGAGGCAGGGGGTGTCATTCTTTTCAATACGACAAAACCTCAGCTCAAATCCTCACAAGTTGGTACCTATTTTATGAACCGCAGAGAGATGATGTTGAAATTATTTCACACCGTGCGCAGCCAACCGTGCAGATCGGAGGTGCGGCGGGGGGGGGGGGGGGCGTCAACCCCCCCCCCCCCTCAAACCCCCCCCCCCCCCACCAAGAGGTGGAGTGTGAACGCGCAACTCTTTCCAACAGCGAGTGGAACGCTCTGACCGCCACGCCGCCCCCCCACCCCCCAAGCCGGAACGTACGCGCGGCACAAGCGAGACGCGGCGTAAATTGCACCGCGCGTTGGGAGCAATTGCCTTAGTCACTGGGTGACGTGACATGACCCCCCCCCCCCCTACCCCAAACCCCAGCAGCCCAGGTTGCCTCGGCAGGGCACAGGGAAATTCGCGAGTATTTTCGCCAACTCGGAATCATTAGCGTAATTGTTTCTGCGTTCCATTCCATCGCTGCGGGAGACGCGACCTGTTGTTGTTGCTGTTCCATCATAAAATTTGCACGCGGACCCAAAGGTCACGGAAGCCTCCCGCACCTCGGCGGTCGCGGGGCGGAGGGAACGAGGGCGAAACGACGTCGTTCGTTTCGACGCGTTCGTCGGTAAACGTCAAGACCCTCGGTGCCGCCATCTCAGCACGAACTCCCTTCTAATAGAGCTGCCGCAGAGACTCTCTCTCGCTACGGGGACGGCATCCAGCGTTGAGGAGCAATGAAGAGGTCTCTCTCGCCGGCAGTAGTTGTTGTCGTTGCTCTCGTTACGGTGGTTGGAGGAGATTTAATATTTTTTTCAACGTGAAGGTGGTGGGTTCTAAACTAAACGCATCATACGAAGTGGAGTACAGGATCGCGTGGAATCTTTTAGTGTTGATTCTAAACGTGGAGGGAAAAACCGGATGACCCGGATAAAAATTCCACAGGACCAGGGGGAGAGAGACACGCAAACTCAAAATAGACAGGCGTCGGGATTGAACCAACGGCCTCCCCCTCCCCCCCCACCACGTGCGGTGGGGTTCAACATACATAACGTACCCGCATAACGCCAGCGGTGAAGACGTGAACCTCTCCGGGGCTCAAACCACAAAAGTTGGACTCGGCTAAACATGGGTGGCTGGTGCAGCGAGTGATCACCGTCTGCAGTCTGTGACTCATAATTGATTTTTTTCGGGTCGGATCGCCCGCTCGAAGAAAAAGTGTGTCGTAAAACCCTCCTGCACCCCACTCGCAGCCAATGAATGAAGATGTCACAAAACAAACGTGCCAATTTGTTTACCGCCTCGGCGGCACCGCCCGATCGACACACATTGAACGATTGCTCACGGACGTTTTGCTGGTCGTTACAACCGCCATCATCAGGCAGTTGCCAAAAATCTGAAAATGTCCTCTCCCGTCTTGGGCCTCAAAGTCGGCGGTGCCATGTCCCCAATTTACACATGCGGCAATCTCACCCAAAAATGTATTTAAAACTTGGCCGTGAAAAACCTGCGCGCGGCACTGCACAACTCCTGTAAAGATGATCCAACAAAAACACTAAACTTTGGTACTCTGCCGTGTTTCTTTTCAGCACCTACCCAATAAAAACAAAAAAACTGGCCAAATTGACTGATGATTTTCACGAACTTCAACAAAACAAGCCAGACCGAGAAGCATCATTTGCCAATATGATGGTTACCACGGGGGAGGGGAGGGGAAGGAGGGGCGAGGGTGGGGCAGGGGCACGAGGAGGGGGCTCTTGAACACCTGAAGAGAAGCATCACAGCTCCGTGTGCTTGTCAGCCCACTTGTCTCCTCCCGCCATCTCCTGGCACAGCGCTGGCGTCTGCACCTCCATCAGGTACTCGCAGCGCGACGGCTCCGACGTGGACACCACCACCGTCTCCTTTCCACAAGACAGCTTCACCTGGGAGGCGCAGGAATGAACGATGGGGCAAGCGGTTAGCACGCCGCGCAACAAAAACGGTGACCACCTCCCCTCCATCCCGACAACTACACAAAAGAACACCTTCAAAGAAACGAATTTTAACTCATGTTGGAGATGAGAGGGTGATGATGGCGAGAGGAGAGGGGAGAGAGGGAGAAGAGAGACCGACGGAGCGAGCAGAAGTGAGCTGCATGCAGGAGCAGCGTCTGTTTTCACGGGGGGGCGGAGAGGAGAGGGCTTCAGAGTGAAGGTGACAACACGGAAGTCACGTGAATGCCAGGAGGCTTGAGCTGGATTATTTACTTATTTGTATTGTTTCATATTTAGATTTCATACGTACACGATTATAGGGACATGAGCAGTCACCATGCTGTACAGTTGCTTCAAAGTGCAAGGATAACGTATCGTGTGTTGTATCGATTGTGTACGTGTGGTGACATAGAATGGGTCACTATGGCGCGTAGAGAGCAGCATCATGGGTGGAATAGCCTGGTCTAGATTTGAAGCTTTCGTGACTGCAAGGATTCATACTCTTAGTTTTTTCATACGAAAAAACTAAGAGTATGTAATAGCCTGGTCTACCAGCAGGGAAATTGAAGTGTGCCCTGGAGGTAATTTGAGGATATAGCGGCCGATCTGCCAGTAGGGCACGTGATAGGCACGAATGTCGGGGAAAGGTGACAGAGGGGACACGTGGGGCAGGGCCCAGAACCTTCTGGTAGGTTCCAGAAGGGGGCGTGGCCGAGGGCGGGGCCAGGCCACGCTGGGGAGGATAAAAGGGAGGCCCCGACGCTGGGTCGGGGCTGCTGCGGTTTGGGAATGGAACCCGTCGTTTTCACAAGTCGTCGTCCCCATCTTCACCTCCTCATCGGTGTTGGGTCAGGCAGCGTGCCGGCTGTCCTGACCCATATCTAGTTATCCCCTATACTGTGGAAAGTGGAGAATAAACGTGTATGCCTCCTACTATTAGTGTCTCTGAAGTGACTCACTACACATGATTGCATGAGTGACGCTTTGTCATGGAATATTCGAGCGATTTGAACGTCTGATGCATTTGAACGTGCACGCGTCCGCACGTAACGAGTCGGCTGGCCGGGTCACTCTTGGTAATAAGAGCGACAGAGCTCGATGGTCTCGGTGGGGCGGGGGGGGGGAGGAAACACTTCCGACTTATTCTGACGAAGGCCCCTTGTAGATTATTCAGGAGCTCGAGGCTCACAGTGACAGATTAAAGCAACTTTAGGGCTCTTTAGGAACAAATGCAAACTCCCAAAACTCAGATGTACGAGTAAGAGCGTTATAGCTGCGGGGGAAAAACATTCATTATATTTTTATATCCGCTCAATACCAATGGCATATTATCTACCTTGTGAGGCTTTCATGGGCAAATACATGTTTGACATTATCATGAGATATCAGAAGGAGGCAACACAGATCATAAAAGTCACGGATATATGTACAGTATTCCCTCGTTTAACGTTTTTAATCCGTTCCATGAAAACGACCGTTGGCCGAAATAAATGTAAATCGAGGAGAGAGCCGTTTCCACCGCCTCAACAGAAAACAAAACATTAACAAAGCCAGTCGAGGTCAAGACGCTCATAAATGGGCCATGCCGATTGGCTCAGGGCATGGTTGAGCTCCAATTACGAGCGCTCGGTTTGGCCGTAATTGGCGCCCCGCGTGCACGACTTACAAAAATGTACCGTTGATAAAAAACAAAAATTCCGTTAACCGAAAAACCGTTAACCGATGTCACCATTAACGGAGGGATGACTGTAAACGCAAACACCACACTCACTTTCCACACATGCACACACACACACGTGTTGCTTAAACTTGTGCATGTATGTGAACTTGTAAATGTTAGAATGTCAGGCGGCACACGTTCTGCTCGCTGACAGTTGAGACAAGCGTCACGCTTCACGGCCTGCCAAGACAACCGTTCGACGTTTGGCGAAATTGGGTTTTGAAGGGAAAGAAAATAAGCAAGCCGAAAGAATAAATAAAAATAAAGCACCAGCGCAGTCACACACACACACGGACGGACGGACGTGAGCAAGCACCTTGGGACTACCAATATTATAATCCTCAGTAGGTTGCCTTTTAGTATGGCTCTTCCAGTCCTGCCTGGGCAATTCTATTGAACCTTCAAGAATCTTGGGCGTTATCCACAAAATGTTTTCCTACTCGCACCGCCTCAGCGGATTGTGCCGCTAGGATTGGTGAAAACGACGGCGCTTAATGATTTTGCCAGATTTCACCCTACGTTTTGAATTGCTCGCTAGTTATTATGACGACGACGATGATGATGGTGAGGATGACACTTCACGCTCAACGGGACTCGGTGATGATGAAAGATATCTTCGCTTTCAGGTCAGACAGCAGCCCAGCTGGATCTAAGAACACCCTGCTGATGAGGCACATGGTCTATCCACTGCTGGATGAAGGCCTCCCAAGCCATCACCATCTCTCACCGTCTTGCGATGCAGGAATCCATTTAACCTGTCAACTGCTTCAACACCTGCTGGTAGAAAACAATCGTTTGGGAGAATGTTGACTGAAAATCCTTTTAGGAGGCGATTTTGTTGAATATTTTGAAATTATCACAGATTCTGGTCAATGTATTTTATTTATTCGTTTTTTATTAACATCAGTCCATCTTGACGGTGATATAAGTCACGCATGCATTTCGATTTGTATTGTTTGTATGTGCGGTCTCAGCATAGCCGATTCACCTTTGTAAATGGTTGCAACAATTTGTGTTTAAGACTTTGCTTTGCGAGAGCCCCGATGAACGCTCGATCATCCACCGAATCAAATGGTCCATCAGTCAAAACGGCACTGACATAACAGAACTTGATACCCATTCGTCTCCCCTACAATCTGATTGACTGATGGCATGCACGTGGTCGACAGTAGAAATCCAGCTCGTGAGGTTAGTTGGCTCTCCAAATGGACCATTATTCAGTTCCCCGTGATATTCACCGACGGTTTATCGAGCCGAGATAAGGGGCTAATGGGGCTAATCCTTCAAACCAATTCTCTCTCTCCCTTCTGGAAGGGAGGAGTGAATGAAGCCGTCAGTCTACGATAGCGCCATTTCAATTTCAAGCGTAAACATTTAGGAGATGCTCTGCGAGTGTTGGTCAACCGGTTGGTCCCGCTTCTCCGATGATGCTCCCACCTGCTGTGCATGCACGTGTGTTGAACTTCTCTCGCACCTGGGCTCATCGGAGGCAGCCTGTGAGCGTTTGCTCTTTTTCACACTGCGAATTGGAGCGGTCATACCTCTTTAGGTCTGACGTACGAATGATCACCCCTATCCACGTGACAAATGAACTGCTTCAAACAAATTGAGTATGTTAATTTCTTTCAGCTATCTGCACAGATTTCCTCCAACTCACATTCATCAATAAACGGCAATAAATAAGACTAATACAATAGTCGCGTAGGGTGACGTCTTTTACCATCATGATCGTCCTCGTCATCATCACCATCTTCATAAATCCATTATCATTAGCCCTTTCCCATTCCGATGATGGATGTGTACATCATCTGTTTGTCTTCCGATTCCATTTCGATGACGTATGTGTGTATGTCATCGGAACGGAATCGATTCTGAATGGAATCGGAACTAAAAGGCTACGCGGAAGAGCGTATGGCACTGTGGCGCCAGCTATCGTAGAGTGTGGTCATGCCATTACGGTTCTCTGCGGTGAGCGCGATGTCTTTAAAAACAACGGCGCTTCGCCCCTCTAAATAAAACTACCGCCGGGCCGCTTGCTCGATCGAGATTCAGCGGTGAACGGGACCCCACCCTGCAATTTGCAGAAGTCCCGTAATGGGAAACGGTGAAATGCACCAACCGATTGACGTTTCAGCGTCGTGGGGATCTTTGAGAATCAGGTTTCAGAGATGCCTTTGAAGTCGGTGGTAGGAGTAGAAATATCATCTCTAAGCAAGTTAACTCTAGATCTCAGACTTCCTACATTTAGATGCAATATGCCGAGCCCTTTGCCATCCGTGAACTGACAGAAATGGTCGCACTTTAATGTGTTTTTTGTTGTGTTATTGTTGTCTATTCCATTCGTGAGTAGGAGCAAGATGAGATACGGGGTACGATGGGTCCCGATTGGTTGAACAAAATGGCTGTGTTCAATTCCGAGAGACTTGCTAGAGGATCAATATTGCATTAGAGGTGGCTCATAAAGAAATAGTTGCATCTCGACTGATACAAGCCAAAGGGATTCATATTTAATGTATTTATATTGGTGAGGAGTGGTCTCCAGATGCATTCAGACGCACTCAATGAGTAAGGATGGCCGAATGCAAAATACTTTTTTTTACTTTTGCATAAAAAGCATGTTCATATATAGTCTTGGAAACAACACTTGCAATGTAAATAGCGTAAAACGAATGGGTTTAAACAAGTAAACCGATCAAATTTTAAAATGAGAAACACATCAGTGTTAGAAACACTTTGAATGGATGAAAGCGGAGCAGTTGGTTGTTTGGAGAAGGGGCGACAGGCAATATCCGTGTTGGAGCTCAGTACTAGAGCTCCATGCTAGATCTCGGGCCTCACATGCGATTGTTATTTTTCAGAGTCTTTATTCAGACGAGTGGAATACGATGAGATATGCAGCTCTTTTTCACAGATGTCCAGCAGGGCCAGGTCAGCAAAGTCTCAGTGTGAGGCTGCGTCTCTGTGTCAATTCTGTGTGCCTCTACTCGAGTCCATGGGTCCCTGTTCGATGCTTTGTGTGTCCCTGCGCTAGTCCATAGGTTTTGAAGCCTACTCGCCATCAGGCGTCATTCTTTCCTGACTGCTCCTACCACAGAGGGAGGTGGGAGAGCGGGCACATGGGCAGGGCAAGATCGGGGGTAACCACGCTCGAGTGTGGGCAGCGGGGGAACTATGAGGTAGGCCCCAAGCGTGCATGTCAATTGAACTTCTTTCGCACCATACATAGCCAACCGTGCTAAATCGGCGCATGCACGGCGCCGTACAGCTCTCCGCAAAGGCGGCCCCGCACAGCGAATTGAAGCCTCCGAAGGCCGCTTCTCGTTCCCTGATGGACGCTAGGTTCCTGGCCTCGGGAACGTGCGACGCACGCCACGCACGCACACACGCACGCCACGCACGTCACGCACGCCCGTCACGCACGTCACGCACGCCCACGGGGAGACTGCGCCCAGACCCGGCAGGCCGGCCAAGGCCAGCGGGGAGTCGGACCTCCGGCCTACCCTGGCAACCGCTGGATCAACCGGAGCGCCTGCGAATCTCTGCTGCCGAGGAGTCGCACACGGGCTTCCGCCGAGTGCGATGGAGCCGCGGGGGCTTCCACCGACCGGACCGGTGGTGTGGCTACACGGAACAGCAGAGAGCTGGGGAAGCTACCACAGGGAGTGACAGAGATGCCACGGGAAGCCCCCTATACGTTTCAATCCGGCCTTCCCATCGATACAAAACCTCTTGGGGGGGGGCACACAGACTGGGGTCGCGCTCCTTGACGACAGTTTTCCGCGATCGTACACGCAGCGTGCCACACCGGAGGGCACGAAGGCGCTGAGTGGCGGTGCAAGGGTCTTGGGGGGGGGTGGGGGTTCAGCGTCTCGGGGGGGTTTAGGGAGTCTGAAGGGGGTTTTTGCGAGCCTACGAGAGCCACGGCGCCTCCTGCCACGCGCACCACCAAATAAGTAAACTTAAATAAAAGACACGACTAAAAATAAGAAATCACGCCGTCTCCACGGGAACACCTCATTTGTGTTTGCGGGGGTCACGTCGCCTGGCGGCAGGGTTCATCCCCAAACCGCCGAGCAATGGGGACGGCGGCTATTGAGAGAAAACGAGGGCATTTTTGGTTATTTACCGCGCGTTATTGTTCGGCATATTCAGGCCATTCTATTTCTACGGACCCGCCCGCCCGCCACCGGGGGTCACGTTCGCCGAGACACGCGTCAAAACGAAGCACGCCGCCTCGTCTCGCTGAGCGCAGGAAGGCAGGAAGGCCTCTCTAGCTGCCACTCTCCCCCTAAACGCAAGGGCAGCTCCCTGCAGGGCTGCCTCTGTCGTTCCCCATCTCCCTCCGTCTGTCTGTTTTATGTCCTTGCATCTCCCTCCCTCCCTCCCGCTCCCTCCTCTCCATCTCTTCAACCGTTCACCTTCGTTCACTTTTCTGTCGTCCATCTCAACGATTGCCTCTCTCGCCTTCGAGCGTCTCCGTTAATTAATTGGGTCCCTTAATTTTTATTTGAATTACCCGTCCATAACTCGCGCTATCAATCACTGGGTTTTCAATTACAAGTGGGAGATAGTACGCCACTTATGTGAATGCAAAAATGTATTCTTGCCTTCTCATGCGATCTGTCCTAACCGCATTTGCTGAAAATAAAAAGAGGCTTAAAAATGTCTTGGTTTGAAGTGGATTTAAAAAAATAAAATCGTATTTATTTTATTTGTTCAATTTATTTAGCAACACGTATTATCTTAAGTTAATGGCGCTTATTTCAGCAATGGCGTGCACACACGTAACATGTTACATGTGTATACATATTCGGCAGTGGTGTCGCAGTGGTGAGAGTTGTGCGCCATGAACCCAGTGATCCGGGTTTGATTCCTGGCCATGGCGAGTACCACCTAAACCGGTGCTGGCACCGCCATCTCACCAACCGATACTCACCAGTGGTGAAGTATGATCAATCAAACACCAACTAGCGACATGGTGTGTGGGGGAGGGACCCTCATTCTGCAATGGATTAAAATAATGGCGAGAAAAGATACTCTTGTATAACAGTATTTCTCACTTTTCCAATATGTAGTCATTGCGAGTAGTCGTTAAGTTTTGCAATAAAATTTCCGGTATTTCTCACTTTTCCAATGTGTATTCAATGTGCGTAATCAGTTAACTTCTGCACTTTGTCTACTGCTGCCGTTAGTGTTTTGCTGATGCTTGTTAATGTTTTGCACTAATGTGCCATCTCGCTCTTTCACAGTTTGTTATATGATCGTCTATTTAATCCCAATTAAATTCACAGTCAAGAAGAAAGGGGGGGGGGAGGAAACACACCATTTTCGGAACTGTCGCAGGGAGCGGCGTTACAAACGCAATAGTCTTCTCAACCGTATTGGCAAAAGGCAAATGAACTGAGCTGAACCTTCTCTCTAACGCTATCGTTCCGTAGCCGTGAAGTGTGTCTCATCCATCACGAACATTATCTGTGCAGCCGCATCAACAGCAGATATTTGTGGAAAAGGGAATGATGGATAAAAGCTCATCCCACCGCGCCATCATTATTTAGGGACCCTCTGGAGCGTGTCGTTAGCGGAGGCATCGTTTGTCTCTTCCACGGTGCGATTGATAGTACGTGGTCAATGGTAGAGAAACCTTTCCCAAACTCATGGCTACGCTACCCAACTTGGAAAAACCCAACAAATTATTTGGTGCTGCTGCTGCTGCTGCTACACATTGGCAGTGGTGCACAAGCAAAACACACAAAAAATCGAAACACATTTGTCAATAACACTGCGTGTGGTCTTAAAAGGAAAAATATATAGCAGGTGACGTTTTGCGCAATGGCCCTTCACAGCAAAAAATACAGAGGCCAGTAGAGAGGCAGAGTGGATAAGAGTTGGAGCCTGCACTTATTTACATCATGGGGCCTGATAAAAATGACATTTTTACAAATATTTTCTGATCACTGGTTCTTGAATTGAAAGCTCTTGGGTCACAAACAATCCCTTCAAAAAAACTAAAATATTATGAAACAAACGAATCTATACTACAAGTACAATTATAAAATGTTACTGGCACATTGCATTGTGTGGAAAGGATTGTTGTTGCTGAGCACAAGATACAATCCTTTTAGCAATGCAAACTCTGAAGGCCACTCATTCAATTTCCCAGTTGGCCATCATTTGAGTATTTATATTTGAGACAGGAATGATGATCCCAGTTAGCCAGTTGCCCGGCGATTGTACACGGGAGATCCGTGGTACCGTGAGCAGAGGAACAACATGAACAAAAGAAAAGAACATTGCAAAGGACGAGTACAGGGTCCTCGAGGAATACTGTACAATTAACAAAGGTAGTTTCATTTCTTTAGAACTGCTTTTCATGTTTAGTGTTGTTGTCCTTCCCCCCGCACCTCCGATAAGCATGATTGGCTACATACGGTGCATAGAAGTTCAACATCTATACATACATTGAATGTATGGCGCCACCGAGGCGAAATGTTAACTACTTCGCCTGATATACAGGAGTTTGTGGATTCGATCTCGACCATGACGCCTGTATTTTGGAGTTTGCATTTTTCTTCCCGTGCTCGTGTGGATGTCTCCGGGTCCTCTGGTTTTTTCCCTCCACATTTAGAAACACGCGTTCAAGAGTATTTGGCTGCTATAAATATCCACGTGATAAACCACTATGCTGAGCTATTATCGTTTGTGGCCAGGTCGCTTCTGAGAGTTATAACAACTTGGTGGGCCTTACCTGGTAAACAAAAAAAAATATTAAGTTCGTAGCAGTTTACATTGAGGGCGGGGAGTGAGGGGTGGGGGCGGCAGCACAAGAACACTCCGCCACTAACCTTGGTGGAGCGGTTCGGCCCCTGCCAGCACGACATGCCGTGCTCGTACTTCATGGAGCCGTACTTATTCCCGTCGCTCTCCACCCACGAGCCCCACGTCCTGCGAACGGCGAGGAGGAGTGGGGAGGGGGGTGGGCGGTGGGGGGGGGGGCAGGGGGATGGGGGAAGAGGAGGAATAATAAATCTAATCAAAACAGAGCCGCAAGGTGCGGACGTACAATCTACAGGCAGGGCGTATCGATGAATATTTTCTGGTTTGCTGGAAGACTTAGGATGAGGCACATGCTGCTGGTAGACACAGCAATGGCCAGAGGTTTACTGGATGCGGCGTGCAGGTTGTGGAAATTAACTTCTGGGCTGCCGATCCAGCCACACTCGGCTGGAATTGAACCCCACCGAGAGCACAAGTCACTGGGTTAGTTCTTAAAATGTGTCCATGGTCAAACGAAGACCAGGAAGATTGTGATCTTTGTTCAGTGGCCAGGGAACTACATCAATTCCACATTCCAGTCCGGTGGGATGATGGGTTTGAGTCGATCCGCCACGATGGGAATTTAAACTCGTGATCGTCAACTCTGCAGCCTAATACATATACATGTATTAGGCTGGATATACTATTACAATAAAGTTATAATAAGCTACAGTTCTTGGATAATCGCCTGCTGAATTAAGGCTTTCCGCATGCTGTGTCAGTCATGGTGGTTGTTTGACCATACTTCACCACACTGGTGAAGGTGGTGGAGGGGTGGGTGTGTTCAGGACCGGTTCAGACATCACTAGACATTGCTATTAGCCATGGGCCGGAAATCAAACTCAGGTCGCTGGGTTCATAGCGAAGTGCGCTAACCACTGCACCACTGCTCTCGCTCACAATGTAAACAGTGAAATCAAATTCCATGGTTTGAATCGTATCCACACCAACGCTATTCCATTAGCGTAACTATTAACATTACTCAATGCCTCTATCTGGCTTGGATTGGCCACAGGCAATGTAAAATTCCACAGATGCACGTCACACATTTATACATATAGATGTAAAATCCCTGCCAAGTATTCCCGTAGTTGTTACTTCCATTGTTTTCATTGCATGGGTACTGCCATTGACAATGTAGTGACAGCAGCCAATCACCTGCCGACCTCATTTGACCTCTCACCGAACACATGGACGGATTGCATGGACGGATGGACAAACCCATGAGCAACTTAAAAATCAGAGGAAGAATTCTCGAAAACGCCGCTGACAGCATTTCAAAAGCATAAATAAAACATAACCCACAGAAATCTGCCAGTAAACAACTTTGTGTGCAGCACGCAAATATACAAGACACATTGTGACACTTAAACACAATATAAACATTGAGCAATAAACACGTTTTGGGTTGGCCCTGTCTCTTTTAGGGAATTCAATATTTGGGAGGTAAAATATTTATATGTTTTATCTTTGAAAATTACACCCTCACCGTAGCATAAAAAAAGAAATCCAGAAACGTCATCAGTTGTTCAAAGTATCAGTTTTGAGAGCTACGGTACAATAATAAAATGCTTCAGATGGTACGGTTTCATTTTGCACGTCCGTTATACGGAGAGACCGGCTCCCACCATCGTTCCGTGGAACTTCAACCGCAGCTGTAGGTAGCCAGTGGAGAAGAGTACTGCTCCATTGGCTATAGTACAGAGAGACACTACTTCAATTGTGATTTTTTTTTGCGTGTGTGCCTCTGTTAGGGGTGCATATAATGTCGTGAAATGAAATTATGTTGCACAAGCTCAACGAACCATTGCAAACAATGAATCTCAAGAGACACGAGCCCTGTTGAATAAAGGGAAACTCATTATAATCATTAAACGAAGTGCAAACATGACAATCAAAACACACATCTCCCTTTAGCTTCAGACACAAATTACATTAAGTGGTGATCACCTCGATTTAAAGCTTTCGTGACTACAGGGATTCATCTTCTTGGTTCTTATCGACAGACCTGTTCTTCACCTGAGGACGGCTGCTTGCGTTGTGGCCGAAACGTCGTGAGAATTATTTTATTATGTTTTATTTTTATTATTTTATTATTTCCATTCTACGTGACTTTACCGAAAGAACCAAGAAGATGGTGATCACCTACTTAGGGCGGGGAGCCCACACGCGCTAAGCCACCTTTGTCTTCCCAATGTTGTTGCCGATGACACCACAGTACTCCAGGATGTTCATTTCAGGCCGAGTCAACATCGAGGGAACATTCGGGCGAGGCTCTGATGCCAATTGCCACTGGTGAAGAGTACGTTGACCAGGAATGTCACAAAGGTATGTTGGGACTGTTGGTCAGTGTTATGCTAACCACGGTGTCACTGCTGCCCAACTCCCCTTAACAAACGGGCACATTTGCCCGCATGTGAAAAGGGAATTATCTCAGGTGCTCAGCAGAAATGTCTGAGACGTAGGTTTGACTCCGGGAAGCTACCTGTAATGAAACCGTGTTCTTAAGATGTGCGAAGCCAGAACGCCAGGGGACCGCACAAAGAGACCAACACATGAGGTTTGGCGTTTTCATTTTATTTGGCTGAATTTGACCGCCATGCAAAGACCGTGCTCGCGTAGCGGGGCTGGTTGGGAATGCGCTGCCCCCTAGCGTGGACAAAAGAGCACTTTAACCGATTTCAAAAGCTGCCCTGACACCGTCGACCGTATGGTGATGTACGGCTCTGCGAGAGACCCGGGCGCATCCTTCGTGTCGTGCACGATGCGGATTGCGCAGTCTCGATAAAATAACAACAATGCATAATCGTGTGCGTGCGCACACGCAGACATCCCAAAATAAAGAAAAAAACACAAAAGATCCCTGTTTAGCCGCACAAGACGGTGCTGTTAGCGAGCAACTATGAAGGCTGACAGGACCCAAGCACCATGATTCTTGGCTGCCTTCGTCTCCCCAGTGCCAACGCTTACCCACCGCGCCGGACAATAATCGAAGGCTGGGTCAGCTTACCGGAAGATCGGGACCGCATCGGATATATAAAATCAATGCTAACTGATGTCATTCCATCAGAAATTGAACCCGGTTGATCAGAACTAGAACAAATATGGATCAGGATTGTAACACATTGCTCACTCCACTGCATCCTGACTCGTGGATTGCCAACCTGTCTCGGCCCATCTTTAGGTGAGCTCAGCCTTACTGAGGACCTAGGGCAGTGTGCAAACATCAGCACCGGAGGGACAGAGGCGGCCAGGGATGGTGCCGGTCACACCTACCCCGATAAATGCTGTGCCTGCCTTAATAGGTGCTCACAAACAGCACTTGCTTGTACGGTACAGTCTAGGGTTCGTTAGGAGACCTTAGTGCGCACACACAAGCACAAGTGCACAGGCAAAAAACAAGAAAACAAAGATCCCCGTTTCACTTTCAACAGACTTCTGGGGCAAGTGCTGTTGGCGAGCACCTATGAAGACCGGAATGACGCACGACGGAGCGGGTGGCCGGCACCACGCCCAGCCGCCTTTGTCTCCCCCTAGAGGCGATGTTTAGACGTGGCACCAGGTACTCATTTGAGGCCGAGTCGACCTGGGGAAGCCCCATGACACACTAAGATAACTGTTACCTGGCATTGGCCGTAAGTGGGAATCGAACTCCAGCTGTCGGATTCGTAGCGCAGCGCTAACACCATTGCGCCACGACTCCCCACACGTACGAGCACGCATGCGTTCTCAAACACACAGGTAAAAGCATTCGACCTTGGCCACCGGCGAAACGCGGCAAATTAAACCTCGATGCGGGTATGTCACGCAATCGCACGAGCATTCTGCCCCACAACAATCCTGACACACAAACACACGCACGCACACACACGAGCAACAAACACAAACACACGTGCCTAAACAAGAAAGCATTTTAATCAGTGCATATTATCGGTTATGATACATGGATGAGTAAGCATGGGCGCTTGACAAAATAAAATTAAACAAATGCTGAAAAGTGTGAAAACAAACACAGAGTGGAAGCAATTTTTGACTTCCATGGAGAGATGGCGAGAGAAAATACGTGGACCAAGAAACGCATGCAAGTTAGAGTTCCTCGTGTTGTCTTCCATGGTTTTATTTACAATTATGCCGTCAGTCCACGAGATAAAAAAAAATATGTCAATGTTGGAAAACCTCACCGTGAGAAGTGCATGTCCCAATGTTGGAGATTGGCCCATGAAAGTAAATATCAAAGAAACGCATCTGAGAATCCTTCAAGTGATCGTTTTATGCAAAGACTACGGGGTAGAATTTGCACATGTGCCGCTAATTGGTTAAGCAACAGGGCCTGTATTTTTTAAATCGTAGCCCTGGCCTTGAACCAAATTAAGTGCAAAACAAAAAAGGAGAATTACGTGTTCTTTGTGCTATCATTGGTGATCCCGCTGAGACCACCAACTCGTCACACTTGAAGAAGCCCTTTTAATCACAATTCAGTCAGTGTATACAAGTCTGAAATGCTGTGAGTCTCTATGCGAGTCTGTGATCTTATATACGAGTCTGTGGGTTTCTATGTAAATCTGGTTCTATATGAGAGTCTATGCATCATAATGTGAGTCTGTCGTTCTCTATGTGAGTCTGTGGGTCTCTATGTGAGGCTGTGGGTCTCTATGGGAGTCTGTGGGTCTCTATGGGAGTCTGTGGGTGTCTATGTTATCTTTGTGAGTGTATGGGTCTCTATGTGAGTTTGTGGTTCGACATATGAACCTTATAGCGGGACCCCAGTGTCCCATAAGCCCCCGGCTCTCGCATAAACTACGTTGCGACGTCATTTTGTGTCTGTTGAAGGCGAACGATACGGCAATCGATTCCTCTCGACGAGTTATACACGATGCGCTCAAAGTTTTGTTTATGACTACGGCAGTCGTCCTCGCTGCGCTTGGACGACACGACAACAGAACGCTCCGCGACAAGTGGGTTGCGGCGTTTATGTGCGCGATGGGAGTCGCCAAAATAAATAAAATAAATTGCTATTTTGACTTCCATTTATTCGGGACCCCAGGGTCCTGCCATAAGGTTCATATATCTGTGGTTCAATGTGAGTCTCTGTGTGTCTAAGGGAGTATTTGGGTCTCTAGGGGAGTCTGTAGTTATATACATAAATCGTTGGTGACCAGGTTGAAATGACACTTGGTTTGATCACAGATACAACCTTTTAATATTGATTTGAAGCTTTCGTGACTGCAGGAATCCATCGTTATCAGGAGGAACAACCACAGCAGTTTTTCTTGCTGTGGTTGTCCCACCTGATGACGATTGTTTGGGTTGCAATCGAAACGTCGTGATCTATTATTTTTCTACCTACGTGACTTTACCGAAAAAAACAAAGAGTATTTCAACCTTTTCTATAACTATGCCGATGTAGCACTCTGACACAGCCATTAATAATCCTCTCGAGTCACCAAACAACCTCAAGCCATTTAATAAATGTATTTAAACGCAGCTAACCTGTTTCATTATAAATCACAAATTCCACGAAAATTCGTACTTAAATTTTAATATTCATTATTATTCAGATGGCAATAAAAATGTTGGCTACACCATGCAACTTCACCAGCAATTAAGAACCCATGATTCATTCCATTATGCAACTTACTGGCATACGGAAAAACAAAACAGTCTCTTCCTGACCGATGGGGGGGGGTGTGGGAGTCCAATTTAAATTTCAGATTCTCCCACACCGAGGCACAGAGCTATGGAGTAGCGAGTGCGCGCAAGCAGTGCAACTGCACCAGGTGCTAATGGGGCTGGAGAAGACCAAGTGCCGGACTACGCAAGAGGGTGTGGATTTTGGATAGAGGCCCCCCCCCCACCCATTTCACTCCTTGCACCGGAGCCCATGCCGACCACGCTGCGCCACTGTTCCAGGTACCACGAGGTTCAGTTGTATTACTCTTTGGTTTTTTCGGTAAAGTCACGTAGGTAATAAAATAAAATAAATTAAATCACGACGTTTCGGAGGCAACACAAGCTTCCGTCTTCAGGTGGCACCGTCACAGCACAATTACTGTATCAAGTGGAGAGAACTTTAAGAGACACGAGACTATATACAGGTTAAGGGGGGGGGGGAGCCAGGATGGGCCGTGGGGAGGGTTAAGTTAAGCCTCCTTTTGTTATGCTGCAGGGGGCTCGGGGAGGGCGCCGTGTGTAGGCGATGGTAAGTGGTTAACAAAGGGGGGACATCTAAACAAGAGGCAGTATTTAAGCTGACAAATGGGTTGCCTTGCAGTGTACTGCAGTAAACTATAAGGCTGCTAAAATTTACTTGGGTATAACGTGGTTAAAAAATGGGGCTAATCAAGCTGGAAATAGAAAACTGGAAGAAATACGAATGGCTGTACAATTATAAGGCAGCTAAAGATTTGACTTGGTTGATGACATCTTTCCAATGATTGCTCAATTTGAAACCATCCTCTCGGTTGAAGTTGTGTCTATGTTTGTATATCTGGATAGCTTGTATCTGTACATCTGTACATCGCGAGGCTTCGCTTCCAGATGGCTTACAGCTATGCATGATCTTTATCTCAAGCGAAACCTAAGTACATCTTTTGAGACCTACTAAAATGACAAATCTAGTACCTTTGTATTGAAAAGGAAAAAAACATGAATTGTCAATCATGTCCCAGGGGTTCAATAAACGAGGGTCTCAGGCAAAGTTGCGAGAATAACGAAATGTTGTGCAACCTGCCTCGCCGAACGGCACAGTGGCACAGCGACGTGACGCGCGGAACGAGCGTCAATAATGACGACGCTACGTCACGGACACAATGTACGTCTCTGAATCAGCTCAAGCATCACGTCAATCACGTGACTTCTGCGAGGCCACCCCCACTCTCGAGTCCCTCCCCTCCCTTAGCCCCCTGTGCAAACAGACGCCACTCCGTGTAGCAGCAGCGCCGGGTCTCTTCCTCCGTCTCCACAACTTTCCTAATCATTTGGACCAATTTTCACATTTCTTTTCCATGCCTTTCTCCTTACTTCCCATACTTCCTCTTCTCCCATCTGTTGTCTGTTCCTTTTATTCCACGCATCGCATCCTTCCCGTGTTGGTGTGCCATGGATGAAACGCTGACGGTGTTTTACGTACATTCACGATATTGCCGTAACACTTTTTATTTGTATTACTTAGGAATCCTAGTTTTCATCGGCAGCCCCCTAGAATTCGACAAGCCAAAATAAGAGAACTGTTCTCTGCAGCCCTACTCAGCTGCCTTGTTATATTTAATGCACATCATTGACCAGGAGGAGACCATTACATTCGCCGAGTAAAACAAACGACAAAAGGCCTATCTATGTACTCGTATCTGTACGCTTACCTTCAGTAAGGAGATTGCTGGGTGACTTTCGATGACAAACTGACAAGAGTGATTGCCTTCGCTGCTTTGCACAACACACCGACTTACTGGCCTCTGATGGCAGACTGGTATCTCTGATACAGTCTTAGATAAAAGACCCTTAAACCAGGCTCCGAAAGAGCCTTTAGAACAAAGATTAAAATAGCATCCTCTGATGGGGGTTTGCGGAAAATCAGCGCAGAGCAGTTTCGAATGTAAGTTCAGACAGACTGGGGTCTGACTTAGCTTTTAAACAACAAACTGACAAGACTACGCTTTCTTTAACCCTTTGGGCAAAAGACTGCCTTGACCAGCCTCTGATGGGATCTTTAGGATGCAAACACAAGCCAGTCTGATGGGGTCTTTAGGCAGCAGCGATAGACTGAGCCCCTAATGGGCTTCATAGACCCATATCCTCTGAGCAACATTATCTTTAAATGCCATTGTAAGATACATTCCGATGTGCCTAATGGAGGGAGTGTCACTCACCCAAGGCTGGTGTCGCTGCCTCCATTCTTGGGCTTCTGTGTGACTCTGTCAAACGGGCACAGCTTGTAGACATATCTGCAAACACAAGGAGGAATTGCAGCACACAAAAAAACACGCAGAGGGCACTTTCCCCGCGTGCACAAATATATATAAAAAAAATCTTGTTATGTATGAAAAATCCTGCATAGAGCACTTTGCACATGCAGCTGTTTTGGGATTAACACCCCTAAGCCTTGCTCTATGCGGGCTGTTAAACTGAAAAATGTTTAAAAACAAACAGCGTAAAATATACACATATATAGCGCTGCATTTTTTTGTTGGTAATGCCAAAGCTTTTCGCTCAGTCAACAAAACCAATGATATACGGGAGAACAAGAGAAACGTACGAACCGGGGAACAAAAACAAATAATGTATTGTTAAAAATATAAATGGTCTTCGGTAGGACACAGCGTCATGTACGGGGACGTGACGACAGCTAAAATGAAGAGCGTGCCCGGCGGGACGACAATCGTGGAGACGGAGCGATGGGATCGACTCGAGTGCGGCAGTGAGATGGAGCGCAGCATCGCAGGACCACGATGGGATGGATGACGATGGCACAGGGAGGGGCCCTTCACAACTAGCGGTGGATAGATTATGGCCATTGCTCAGCCCTCCACGCGTGGCAATGAACGGTGGTTGGAGACAGCTGCTCCCAAGGACGACGGCAACGGTCGACTTCCCCCACGGTGCAGTACGTGACGTGTAGGCATTGACGAGCACCGCGTCCAGAGGGATGACGATGGGCCGAGTGAGAATCGACTCCAACCCCCCCCCCCCCCCCCCCCCCAGATGCCGACGCCACCGCTGTCGTCGTCCCGACTTCAACTCGAACTCGCGACCTTTGGACCCGCGGGAGGTCAAGCGCTCGAAGCAGATTTCCGAGAGGCCGGATATTGAAATGAATAGCCATCACGCAACCGTTGGATCGGTATCGCTATTCATTAAAGTGGGACAACAAATGGTCTTGCAGCCTTCGGCCAAGATATTCACCAACAGAGTGTGATACAGCCAATTTCAACACATCACGGCCCACGAATCGGCAGCCAATACTAACGCACAGATACAGATCTTTATTTAACCAGGCAAGAGCCCATTAAGATGAACATCTCCTTCGCAAGAGAGACCTGATATTTGTATCGACGTTGCGCTGCTGTCATCCCGTGCTTGGGAGGATGGCTCTGTGGATCACGTGCAGAGATAGCTGAATGCATGTGGGATTCTAAACTGGGAAGGCAGTACAACAAGTGGGTTGCTTAATTGACCACACAGATGTCGAGCCCCAATCCTCCCTCCTATGTGTGAATTTCCCCAGGCACTCCAGTTTACTTCCACATGCCAAACACTTGTTAGAGAACTGGTCGAGTATTCTAATACGAATATAAACGTACAGACAAATTATGTTCATATCCACTGCTGGATGAGTGCCTCCCCATACCGTGGTGGGTTGTTGCTACCCATTTGACCAGACTGCAGCACGTTGGTCAGCGCAGGCCGATGAAGGTGATGGGAGGATGCAAGTGGAGGAAAAGTAGAGTACAACGATATCATGTGCTGCACTGCCCACAACAGCTACATTGCCTATAACACATGCGATGCAGATGGCCACCCACACAAGCACCACACAGGCTCAACCCCACTCTGCTTATGAGATCCGATGAAATCGGGTTCATTCCGGGTGATATGATCATAGGCTCCTAATGCATGACCCTGCTAAGAATGAGTCTTGACACTCTGTGAGGATTTCATGGCTCGAATAAATGAAATTATTTTTATTATTATATTGGATGGATGGGTCGAGATTGACTTCTTTTAAAAATAACAGCACTTATTGCGACTGCAAATTCAGATTCCAAGGTCAAGTCGAAACTTGTCCGTGCACAAAACAAACGGCGGCGGGCAAGTCCCGAGCCGGTGCTGGAAATTCCACATTCTCACGGCAGGAGCCAAGCCGCGCGTAACAAACAGAAAAAAGCACCAACGCCACCCCCGTTGTGCCACGACACCCACAGTGGCTCATGCTCCGTGGGCGATGTTCAATGGAATCCGCACGTCTCGCGAGCGGATCCGCCCACCGCCCTCGCAGAAAGTGCAAATTCACGGAAAAATCCCCCAACGTGCAACAGCGGGGCCCGCCGGGCCATCGACCGCGCAACCAAGTCGAAGCAATCCATCGCACGTAGGGAAAAAAAAAAACGGCGCCGTTTCCTGGCTACAAAAATAAATATATATTGGCATTCACTTACTGGTCGCCAATTCATCCAGCCATACGCAAAGAGGCCCGCCACAAGTCAACAGTCCTCGCATCCTCGACAATAGATACAATAATATTCACAGCTGCAGGTACCGATTACGGCCCTGACGTCTGCTCACATCTCACTTATTCGGAGCGCGCGGCGTTCAATTCCGCCACTGGCGGCAATTCGTTAAGCGCATTATTAGCACAGGCCCCGGCCGCTCGTCGCTGCAAAGTGGCCTCTTATCGTGGGTCTCCTCCTCCCGGTCTCTCCTTCGCCAAGGGCAAATAAGAATTAAACATTTAGCAGGGGATGGATGGTATTGGTGGGGATGGGATGAAGGAGGGGGGGGGAAGTGGGTGGGTGAGTGGGTGGGGTGCACGGCGGGAGCGTGAGAAATGGGGAGGAGACGCTCTGACATGATGGATATTACGCAGGCATCGCTCTGTCGCCCCCATTAGTCAGCAAGCGCGGCGCTCGTCTCGCCGGCCGCGCGCCGATCCGTCTCCCGCGAGTGCCGCCGATTAAACTGTTTCGAGTCGTCCAGTCGTTCCATTCCGGTACAAGGCGGGGGGGGGGGGGGGGGAAACAAGGGGGGGGGGGCACGGCAGGGGGGCGGCAGGGGGGGCGGCAGGGGGGGCAGCAGGGGGGCGGGAGGATTTCCACCCCACCCCCGCCACCCCTGGAAACGAGCGAGAGTGGCTGACAGTGCTGCGCCGGCACAAATTAGCGCTCGCTCGCCGCGTCCACCATGAAATTAGCCCCGACGAGGGTAGCCGGTGACAATGTGAAGGTGGGTGGAGGACATTGCGTGTTTGGTTAGTGATGTGCATGTGCTCAGGAGGATAGAGAGACGCACTGCTTTGGCGAGGGAGGTTTTTTGGCACAATCGGTCGGCCCTTTTTTGTGATCGCCAAAACTATTCCCGTCGTCAATTCGTAAGCGAGTTAAGCCCTCTGCCAGAGCGCGGGTTGATTGTCGCGTGAGGAACATGACTCTCTGTGGGCCGTTCTCTCCCGTCAGGGGAAGAAGGGTTACACACTGCTCTGCGATCGACATGACACCCAAAGCACAATTTGGGGAAAATATTACGTAAAACATTTTTTTGTGATGAAATCTACGTACGCATTTTTTTTTCATGGCCACTCTGTAACCCCCAAAAACCTGAAAGGAAAACTGCTCATTCGTCGACCGTGTTTGCCGCGTGTGTCGAATACTCAACAAGGGAAGCCAAAGGGGGAATTTCAACATCGAAAGTGTTTTCCAGCTCAAGTGCAGACCGGCCCGGCCCGGCGGACGCTCCACATGTCTACGCTCGGGACAAAAGCACATCCGTAAAAGGGCCACTGGGAACTTGTCACAAACCGCCACTTTTACCAAGCGCATGGAGAGGGAGGGGGGGGGGGGATGAGGGACCTGAGTTTGACTCGTCAGCCACATTTCAGACTCGTGTCCTTGTGATTGCTCGTCGAGGACTCCACACACCGTGCCGAACGTCGCACTCGTTGATTCCGCCGGATTCACAGCACAGTGTGCGCCAAGCACATTTGTTAAATGTACCCATTTCTTTCTCTCTCCATTCTGTGTTCAACGACAACCGCCTTTTGCAGGTCACAACATTTCTCTTTCCGCTTCATCCCTTGCATTGCTCCGCTTAAAACAATTCCTTCCCCATTGTCTCGTTTTACAAGATCTTATAACTAAAACAATTAGATTTTTTTTTTACAATTTTTTTTTACTTTACCAGCTACGTAGCTCTTTTTCTAAAGCGACCTGGCCACAAATCATAGCCCAACGAAGTGGCTTATCACGTAGAAATGTATCGCAGCCAAATACTCTAAACGCACGATGTTTATTCTAAATGTGGAGGGAAAAACCGGAGGACCCGGAGAAAAATCCACGCGATCACGGAGACACGCAAACTCCAAATATACAGCAGGCGTTAGGGTCGGGATCGAACCCACGGCCTCCTGCATCAGGCGAGGTAGTTAACATCTTGCCACCGTGGCGCCCCAACAACCTTGCTCAAATGAAGAAACGTGTTATATATTTTCTACTACAACTCTACTGGTGCTGTTTGTCGCTGGCCGATGACGTTTTTGGGCCTTTGCAGCAAACCTGCTGCACATGGGGAGGAGGCGCGGAAAATCCCAGCGCGATGTCAACGCCCTGCCCACCCCCCGTCGTGCCCCACCCCCCCCTCCAACCCCCCAGCCACCACCCTCCTGCTGGCTGGGCAGATGCGACGATTGCTCGGCAGACAGCACCACTCGGCTCTGGCGTCACGCAAAGCCGCGGTCGTATTTCAGACGGGAGACGTGCGTGCTAAGAATCAGTTAGCCCCCCATCCCCCCACCTCACTGCCCCCCCCTAAACGGTGATTAAACTGGGATCGTAGACATGCCAAATTTGACGGTCCCAGGCTGGTCCCCATGGACGACATGAGTAATTTTTAAAAAATATTTTTCGTACGTAATTTGCCATGGACTGTCTGTGAAGGATCACGTGTCTGTGAAGGATGACGTGTCTACGAATCCCTTTGTCCAACATCCACTGCCTGACGAAGAGAGCTCCTCAAGCTGCCGCCATCTCGACGACGCACTTGGGACACGATCCGATTTAAAACACTCCGTGCCGTCAGCCGACGTCCTCTCGGGCACATTGCCTCCAAACGGTCGTCCCTCCATCAGGATTCTTAACCAGAGGCTACCACAACACCGAGGACCGCCATCGCACAGGGTACCCAATCAGTGTCCGACACGCTCGGAGCCAGAAGAATTCACGAGACGTGAACTACATCGCCCCACATACAGGAGGTCGTGGGTTCGATCCCGACCCTGACACCTGTATATTTGGAGTTGGCGTGTCTCTCTCTCCCCGTGGTCAACTTTTAGAATCAACATCACACGTTTAGAGTATTCGGCTGCTATACATTGCCACGTAAGCCACTTCGTTGAGCTATCATTTGTGGCCAGGTCGCATTTGAAAAAGAGCTACATAGCTCAGTGGGCCTTACCTGCTAAAATTAATATAGTTAACTTTGAGTTTAGACTTCAGTACTTCGGACACAATGCCCGGGCCGGGCGCCTCGGTACATCGTGCCGGGGCCCTGCGCGCGCGATCACCGACGGGCAGTTCGCTACGGGATTGGAGACGACCCCGGAGCCAGGCAACGGCCAACGTGCACCGTGCGCACGATGGAGTCCGATCTTCACCACCACCGACTCGGCCTGCGCTCTGCGTGCCGGCGAGCGCAGCGTCTCGTGGGGACCGCTACGCAGAGAGGGGTTCGCGCGCCGTGACGATTGATGATGATGATAGGCTATTATCCCTTCAATTGATGTAACCTGCCCAAGCCCACTTGCTTTACTTAACAGGCAGAATTATGTCTTTAACCTGCATGGTCTCTCATCCCATGCGCTCCCATTTCTGTCTCTCAAAAGTATTCCCCAAGCATGCGAACCTTTCAGATGTATTTTTTGCATTCCCATTTTCTTTGTTAATGTCCATGCATCTGATCCATATGTCATAGCAGGTAGCACACTATCGACTGCCTGCTATGACCAGAACTTGATTTCTCACTCGATATCTTCTGGAACAACGATCGGCTAGATGGCTTGGCATAGGCACTACCACCACAAGGTATGCCTATAAATAACAATTGTACAATACCATACCCAAAATACCTCGAACTCCAAGAACATATTAGTTACATTTGGATGCAATGAGGACGAAATAAGGTGAGATGGATGTGTGTATGCTGAACTTCTTTTGTACTGTACGTAACCAACCGTGCGAGATAAATGAGTTTTAACTTTAGATTTAAAAAATGCTTAGCTCCAGTGGCTTCATAATATCGGAAGGAAGAGCGTTCCAGACGGCCGCAGAAGCGTATCTGAAAGCGCGCGATGCGGTGACCGTCAGGATGCGGCATGCCTAAATATCATTCCCGCAACAGCGTCTCCGGACTGTTCCGGCTGACAATCATCCAAGACGAGAGGAGGAAGACTGCGATTACGATGTTCAGTGTCGCGGAACGATGCTGGCAAGCAACGGTGCGAGAAGGCGCGGCGAAGGGCGACTATACTCACTCGGTGGTGGTCATGTCGAAGCACTTGCCGTACATGTACGCAAACTCGCCATTCGGCCCGAGGTCCAAACCCAGTTCCTTCTCCAAGCTCCTGCAAAGGGACGGGCAGCAATACGCATCAGGCCACAGGTCGAAGTGTCGAAGCCCCACACATCACAACACGGGAACGTGTCCCACACACCTCCGAGCAACACGATGAGCTACGTACGGTGCGAAAGACATTCAACATACATAACAGACCAAAAGAGTAATTCTGTTTTATGTACAGCCCAATGGACAATCTCCTGCTGGAGTAAGGCCACAGGGACCGGTTTCGTGGAAGACAATTTTTTCACAGACCGGGGGTGGGGGGGGTTCATTATTGGGTCTTTCCCCCTTTTCAAAGAAGCTCTCCAGCGACGTTTGTTTTTTACTCATTGTGGCTACTAGGGGTTAGCAGCTTGTGGGCTTATCACAACTGTGACTGTGACAAGTGCGCAGTGCGAGAAAGAGGCGCAGATGGAAGTGGTCAATAATAGAACAATGGGGGTGGGCCACGCGCGGACTCACCACTCTCACCTCCTGCTGCTGTGCGACCCGGTTCCTAACAGGCCATGGACCGGTACCGGTCCGCGGCACGGGGGTTGGGGACCCCTGCTCTAACTAACCCCTTCCGCCCCCACATCGAGTCGGTCATGAAGATTAGTTCTGACCATACTTTACCACGCCGGCCAGTGCACATTGATGAAGTGAGCGCCCATGTCTGGTTCAGTCATCACGTTGTCCGTAAGCCGGGAATCAAACTCAGGTAGTCCGGGTTCATTTTGCCGTGCGCTCACCACTAAAACGCCGCTCCACCCCAACTCATTTTACATTTACAGCCAAACAAGCCATCTCAGTGCGTGACTTTGAGTTAAGAATAGTGACAATTCAACATCCACGAGGGGAGGGCCTATTCTTTCGATAGGACAACCGCTATTAGCTTCGATGGGACCACCCAGCAAGAATGATGGCCTGAGTTGATTTCCAACCAGAATTTAAGCCCGTACAAGGCAAGTCCGGGTGGTATAGCCACAGCGCTGGCATCACATGCCGCAAGTCACGACCGACTCCTGTACCTTAGGCAGCCACTGCACATCTTCTCGCCACTCTTTGTCCCACTTTATTCCCTTTTGCGCCACTCACTTGACCAAATCCAGCCAGGCGGTGCTCCAGTCAACAGTATTCAACTTCACAAACCATAGGTTTCAAGTTCAAACTTTGGTTGGAGATTGACTGAGCCCATTCTAGTCTCTAAGAAGTGAACAGGGCCCATCGTTTGAGGAGGATGGCCAATGCCACCACTGGAATGTGGGATTTCCACTGCTGGCTAAAGGCTGCGAAACGAGGATGAGCTCAACCCACACATTCACTCGAGCAGAGGCACACTTCCACTTGAGTGCATTTGTCCAAACAAAACTCACGCAGACACATTCCCGGGAGGGCAGCCCGATTTAAGATGTGGCACAATCTAAATGTTCAAACCAACAAGGATTCTCGGTGTTTTTGCTCATCTCTTGTTTATTTGTCCACTTCACAGCGGCACATTGGCCGGCGAGCATTCCCCTATCATCTGCCTGCCCACCTGCCCGCCCACCGGGCATGCCAGCTCCGACAGCAACACCTCAACTTTGACGCACTGCCACGTGGGAACCACTGCTGGGGCATCCAGAAGGCACGGGCAACATGGCAATCGCACGGAAACCCTGCGCCATTCAGGGGCAGACGTTCGTCTCACTCCCGGCTGATGTGGCTGCAGCTGCTGCCGCTGCTACAAGTGGACGGGACGAACGCGGACTTACCACCGGGGGAGGGAAACCGCCCGGGCAATGTCGAACACGCTCCGCGGTGTCAGCGGAGTGGCTATCGTGTGGCGTTCAGGAGCGATGGGGTGTATTCGATAAAGACGTTGCGTTTTATATTCATGTTTTGGGTGGGTGCTGTTAACATTACTGTGTCAGATTGCGTGCCCCCTTTTTATTCGAATTGAGAAACTCTTAAGGACATGCACAACAGGTTTGCCGAGCAAAATCAAATTTGTTGGAGGACACAACTGATAAGCAGAGCAGAAAATGTCTATCGACGGAATACCGAAAGCTTAATGGAGATGAAAATTATGAAGTAGCAGCAGACCAATCTTCCTGCAGAAGAAATCAATGCAGATTAACAAATATGACTCATAGATCAGAGCTATGAACACTGACAAAGAAAATGTAACAAAAGTCTGCAGAGTGAGCAGAGGAACATGGGCCTGATGCAACGCTTTGTGTTTCACTGTTAGAGAGGAAAGAGGAACACATGGATCAGAAACATCACATTGCGAGTTGAGGAAAGCAAGTGGGCTTGCGCTGGACACCGGCAGAAGGGACTGCTGATGGAATGGCAGCCAAACGAGAGAACGCGCCTGGGATCAGGACCATCGTGGAGATGGAGCGATGCGATCAGCTGACGTGCAGGAGTGAGATGGATTCTAAACGCAGGATCTTGAGAGACGGCAAAGGAATGCGGATGCCTTAATCCAGAAGTGGATAAATGATGGCTGATGATGACGATGAGGAAGAGTGAAATAATGAGGGCTGCCGTGGCATACGACAGGACGGCGGTGGACGGCAACACTCACGGCCACCTGCCTGTCCCACCAGTGTCGAGGTTCACGTAGCATACCAGGTAACCCTTTTTGTCCGAGTTCACCGAAGCAGAGAGTCAAACACCCTGGGTCCGGTACCGAGTGTTAGGAATTGAAATTGTCGGCAATGAAACGGCTAATATGTTGGTTGAACGGTGCACACTTGCCCATAAATTGGAGTAATGTGCCCGAAAGGTCAATGCAAATGCCTCCACAATTGGTGAACTCATAAAAGCAATCCCCAATTATTCACACAAAGACATCCCAAATGCTGGCTTGCAGACCATAGAGGCAGTGCTGTTAGCGAGCACCTTCCAAGGTCAGCACTGCCCGTGAAGAGGCGGTGTGGATAGCCCCACGCCCTGGCCACCTTTGTCTTCCTAGTGACAATATGTACACACCGTACCAGGTGCGGCCGAGTCAACATAGGCGAGACTGAGGAGGGCAAGTTCAGACACCACGTGTCAATAATGTGGCGCATGGCTGGGAATCGAGCCCAAGGTGGCCGGGACTGTTGCACCGCGCGGCAAACGCCGCACCGACTCTCGCAGGCAAATCCAGTCACAAACGCACACAAAGAAAAACGATCCCCCTTGAGCCAAAGACTGCTGGGACAAGTGGTGTGAGTGAGCACCAATTAACGCACCAGGTACTCATTTAAGGATAAGCCAACCTAGGGGAGGCCTGGCACCAACTCAGATGATCTCTACTAATGTTGGCCGTGGCCAGGAATTGAACTAAGATTTGCCGGGTTCATTACACATTGGGCTAACCACTACGCAACCACTCCACAAATGAGAGCACGCACGCACACACACAGAGGACACTCCCTGGAGAGTCGCAGCGATTGTACCTTTGTGACCTCTACCCTCCACTGACACCCCCGGTGTTTTGGGACACTCCAATCCTGTTTCCCCCCCCGGAATCAATATACACGTGTGCACACATGCGTGTGACATTTTTACTGCAAGGTTCTGAGACGTAAACACAAATGCCGACACACGGGATTTCTGGGAGGTCGCTTTGACAATACTGCGTTTTGTACCCTGACAAGGCCGTGGGCCACATGACCCTAAAAGGGATTCAAACTCATCGGATCTCGGAAAGCCAAACCGGGTTCAGCATGAGTTCGTTTTTGCATCGGTCACCACCAGGGCATGAAATTACCCTGAGAGACAAGTAAACAAAAAAAACTATTTTTTATTTTATTACATAAGGCCCACTGAGCTACGTAGCTCTTTTGCAGAAGCGACTTGGCCACAAATGACAGCTCAATGAAGTGGCTCATCACGTGGAAATTTATAGCAACCAAATATTGTAAAAAGCACATTTCTAAATGTGGAGGGAAAACCCGGAGATAACTCCACAAGACCACGGGGTATACAGAGACACAAGCAAACTCCAAATATGCAGGTGTCAGGGTCAAGATCGAACCCACAGACCTCTTGTATACCAGGCGAGGGAGTTAACATCTTCTCTCTAAATAGAGGAACACAGGCGTGGGGCTATGAGAAGGCCAGGAGGGGGATCCCGGTGCCGAGTGATGCCTCCTCGCACGTGTGGGTTTTCTCCGGGCACTCTGGCGTCAGCCCACAAGCCAAACATTCATCGACAGTGCTGGCTAAACATCTCAGTGTAGGACCCTCCTCAAATGAGTTTTGAGACTCAATGAGGCCCTTCCTATTGACACATTGCTGGCATTGAAGAGTATCTCAAGGAATTAGACAGTGCAACAACGAGGAACGTCCAGATTAAATAAACACCTCGGACGAGACCCAAACATCATCGCACCACCTGGCTTTGGCATTTCTCCTCCTCCAAGACACTGGTTTGTCACCATCAACCGCGTCAGACCAGCAGCAATCTGACGAGCGCATCTCCTTTGTCAACGGACAATTAAAGACACAAGCCACAGGAGTGTGACTGTGTGGCCATGCAACCCAAGCCATGGAAACCCACGGTAGTCTGCGCCCTTTCAACGGAAGAGAAACAGCAGAACTACACCAACTCTCTCTCTCTCTCTGTCTCATGAAGCCCTCTCGTCGTAGCCAGCAGCAGACCTCGACATTGGCATCGAGCCCCTGATCACATTGCCACTGCCGTCACCACGCGCAAGAGTAGGATGAGCAGAATGAGTAGAATGACAAACAGTGTGCAGCTGCTGCTCTCCCCGCTCTCACTCACCTGATGTCAGTCTTCCACTTCTCGGAGTGACTTCTCTGCTATCCGTAGTTCTTCCCGTGCCCTGTCCGCAGCTGGGAATACATGGAAGAATGTGCACGCACACACACACAGACACAAAGCCTATGTAAGAACATGCATGCATGTATAATACAGAGATCGCGGGATACAAAGGACATCAATACCAATAGGTCATCACAGCCAATGCAGCCCCCCGTCTCCCCCCAGTACTGCTATATACACTTATTTAAGGCTGAGCTAACCTAAGAGAGGCCCAGAAACCATGCAGATATCACTCGTCACCAATGTTAGCCATGGTGGTGGACTCAAAGTGCACTATTTACTCCACCACTACTCAACCTACAAAGACAAAGACCCCGTAGAGCAATTAACAAACTGTTGGGGCAAGTGCTGTTACTGAACACCGATGAAGGCTGGTAAGGCTCATGAGGGGGTGGGTGGTCAACACCACGCTCCACCACCCTTGCCTCCCTAATGGTGTTGTTTACACATTGCACCAGGTACTCATTTAAGGCCAGGCCGACTTCGGGGAGGGCCCCAAGACCGGTTCAGATATTCGTCACCGATATTGACCGGCGAGCGTGAATCCAACTCGGGTCGCCGGGTTCTGTGCAAATCACACGTCCAAGTTGAAGTCTGTAAGCCATGCGATAGCTTCAGGAGTAGCGCGACTAATACTGCTCAGTCCGCCGGACAGCGGGCGTAGGATGCAGTTGTTCGCAATATGGTCCATTGTCTGGTTCGGGTGGCCGCAGTCACACTGTGGGTTGTCTTTAATTCTCCACTTGTGGAGGAGGTGTGTGCAGCGACCTGTCGCTGTTCCGAAACGGTTGATGGAGCACCGTAGTTTCCTTGGCAGATCAACGCCGTGCATAGCAATTATGGGATCGTCGATGAGGCTTTAATTTGTGATGTTCACAGAACTCCACAAATGTTCGCCAGCGGTCTTCAATTGACCCCGCTTCATCCAATTGTCTCGCACGATACCCGGATTGGTTTCCGGGATTTCAAACGAGTTCGTGGAGGGTTAAGCAGGTCTCTTTGGTAATGGTAAATGTCCACTGCCTCAGATTTTGTCCAATCGGTTTGCTGTCGCTGCATCCCGGCGGAGGTTTGCTGGCGTAATGTTGGCCTTACCGCAGTACATTACCCACAATGCAACCTCTGCCCAAAACCCACACACACGCAAACACTAGAAACCTTATTTCTGGCTCTCTGCTTGCTACAGCATCTGAGTTATCACCGTAGCATGCATCTGTTGTTTTTTGGCGCCCTTTTCCCTGCTGCAATAATGAGCTCCTGCAAGTGTGCGGTCACTTTCGTAATGGTGGCTTCAGGGTACATGGATTTGAATTCACAAATGCACCGGCTGGACGATCTACAGCATAGACCAAAAGGCCAGTGGCTGCTATGGAAGCAAATGCATTTTTTTATTCCTTCACCAAGTTTTAAAGAAGAATTGAGTTCGGCTCGCAGCTTTGCGAGCACAAGGGCAGAACCTGGAGGCTAGGAATCAACTGTGTAAGAGCTGCAAGATGTAGCGGAAGGAAGCGATGGTGTGGTGTTGGGGTATTAACTGCACCAGCTGTGACGATCTCTGGATCACGATCAATAAAATTCAGCTCGGCCAAATGTACATTTTAGAACATCAATTTCATCATCACCACCACCACAACTGACCATCAAGAACATTATTTTAAAGTAATTACGGTTGTATTGCATTCACTGCTCATCGACTAACGGACTAAGTGATGCTGCGGTAAGAACACGACTCACAAAAATTGTAAAGTTTCAGCCCATCATCCCTTCCGCGTTAATAAAAAAAAAAAAGAGCACCACTTTCTCGGAGGTCAAAAGTGGTCCGTCCTCCTATCTTGGAGAAATCGGCTACTGACCCTGGAACCGTGGAATTTCCACCACTGACTCAACATCTCCAACGGAGATGAGCGCCTCATCACCGTTCGTCCGAGCTGCGACCCAACGATCGTGGTTGTTATTTACACCAAATGGTAATACTGACACTGCACCAGGTACTCATTGAAGGCACCGGGGCTGCACGACGAGCGAGGGGACAAGCGACAAGTTCAGAAGCCACGTGCTGCCAACGTCTGACACGCTCGCTGACCGTACCCCCCGTATCAGCAGATGCGCGGCGCAGTGTCAGCATTAACTACTATGCCACCACGCGCACAATACCCACGCGGGATGCGGACAGCATGAATAATGCATGCGTAATCCTGGAAAGAAAAAAAATCAAGCAGGCCCGACACACATGCAGGGAGAGAGAGCACCTGTCACAAAATGGCTCCGTGCGGTGCGGAAAATACAAAATGGTGGGCGTGCGTCTGCCATTCCCAAGGGGAAGCGAATGTGCGCGAGCGTGTACGAGCGAGCGAGCGTGCGAGCGAGCGGCGAGCGTGCGTGCGAGCGCACAAGCCCCGCAGCCCGGCTGAACGGCGTCAGAGCGTGGAGGTGGCGGCGGCAGCGTTAGAGGCGGTGGCGGGCAGGCGGCTGCCCCCTGCCATCGCGTGGTCTCAATAATTAATAGCTTGGCTTTCATTGCTGGCACGATCGAGATGGGCGTCTATATTCGTAAAAACATAGATACATACGTCGAATGAGATTTGTTCATCATAGAATTAAAGTACACTTTTCACACTAACACAGGATCATATGACATTTCTTTATTATTTCCATGCAGGACTGTGCTGAGAGGAGCTAAGAGATTCAGTGAGATTTTTCTGGGTAAAGGACTAGTGGCATTTGTATATGTCCACACAATTGGAGCGCGTGTGCTCATGCTAAAAAGGGGGGGAGCAGTAGTTCAGCGGTTAGCACGCTGCACTCCAAACCCGGCGGCCGGGGTTCAATTTCTGCTCACGGTCAACACCAGTGACGATGATGTGAACTGGTCTTGGGCTCCCCCTAAGTCGACTCAGCCTCAAATGAGAACCTGGTGCGGTGTGTACACATAGCAGTGTTAACCGTGTGTTAATAGAAATGCACCCTAGTCAACGTGTGTGTGTACAAGTGGGAATATGGACACGTGTATATCTCTGTTCGCATAACATGATTGCATGTTTCTTGTGTGCATGTATTCAAGTCACCGCACACGTACACGTGTGTCTTTTCACAAACGTGTGCATGTACTTGGATACAGATCAAGCACATCTGCATACATACACACATGCCTGTCCGTATGTTTATAATCGTTGCGTACATGACCATACATCCGTTGTGCGAATATATGTACACGCATGCATAGATGTGCACATGTTCTGGTCCATATATGAAAAGACAAAGTTCCCCCACATAGACATTAACAGACTGCTGAATTGCTATTAGCGAGCACCAATAAAGGCCGGCAGCACGCCTGGCCGCCTTTGTCTTCCCAATGGCAATATTTACACCTCGCACCACGTACTAATTTAAGGCCGAGCTGGCCTAGGGGAAGCTCGAAATCGGTGCAGAAAAAGGTCACTTGGTGTTGACCATTGGCCGGGAGCAGAAATCGAACTCGGGTTGACAGGTTCGTAGCGCAGCACGCCAACCGCTACACCAGACGCATGTGTGCCGAGTGTGCGCGTCTGTGAGTTTCACGCGTGTGTGCGCGCGTGAGTGCCCGCGCGTCAGCTGCTCTCCGAACAGCAGCATTACTCATCTCCACGATGTCGTGCGGGGAAAAAAAAACCACACACACACACAAAACAGAGTGGAGGCGTCTCCAGAGACGCTGGGACAATGTAGGGGGTGAGATGGGGGTCGGGGACCATTGAGTGTGATGGTTGTGGGGGGCTGGGGAGAGACACGAGTCGTAAGCACTATGGGGGGGCGGGAGATGGGGGGGGGTGAAGTTGTCTAGCACCAAAATCCACATCCCAGCTGCACCAGGAGGAGGAGTGCTGCAGACAATAGCTAATTTCGCGTAAACGTTAAGGACGATAACTTTTCACACCATTTGTGCTCGTAGCGTCAAACAGCGAGCGTGGCCAATGGACATACTTGGTACTTGCCATGTCAATGGGGAATGTCCACCACTGGTTGCGTGCGGTCACCGGTGGAAGACGTGTTTGCTCACGGAAAAACCGAGCGCTTAAACACTTTGACGTTTTAGTCATGTTTCCGGAACCCGCTACGTTTTATCCCAGCAAGGCTCTATGTTGCAAGGTGCTGTTGGCGAGCGCCGATGAAGGCCAAGGGTGGCAGCCAAGACGGCGGACGAAGTGGTGATCACCACACTTGCCAGACGACCTTCATCCCCATGCTGCTAATGTTAAAGACATCGCCACTAAGTACATCTTCTTAGACCGAGATCCTGATCAGAGTTTCGCAACAATTAACCCAAATTGTACGACTACTACTCCTGATGCTCAGGATATACTGTCCATGTAATACAAGTGAATTGATTAGTAGCACTCCTCAATATCAAGATAAGAACTTGATCAGGTTATTCATTTATTATAGTGAGGAAGACCTAAAAGAGAGTGGGTAGAGTGGTGGTGCAGTGGTTATCGCATGGTGCTACAAATCAGGCAACCCGGGTTCGACTCCCGGTCACCGCTAACATTGGCAGAGGTTGGTATCCCAAAGGGTCCCGGGGTCCACGTTCACCAATTTGCAACCGCCATGCGCGGTGAAGCCGACATATCTCCCATGACCCCAGAGACCATGGAAACTGTGGGTAGGCCTTTATCCAGCAGTGGATTAACATATGGCTGTAAATCATAAACAGCATATAAAAGTAGCAGCAGTACAATGTAAACAGGTGCATTGTACATTCTGATCATATTATAATTGCTCAATCCTTGGGAGGGATTTATAGACCAGAGCGAGACATTTTAAACGCACAACGAAAGTCGATAGGGAGACAGCGTAGTTTAGAAACGGGAAAGTAGAGCAGAAGTGTGGGAATTTTGGGGGAAGTTTACTATTTCAACAATTTTTATTTTACCAGGTAAGGCCCGCTGAGTGAGATAATTCTTTATCAGAAGAGACCTGGCCACGCATGATAGCTCAACGAAGTGACTTATCACGTGGAAATGTAACAACACAT